CAAAGAGTTAATGTGAAGACTAATTGAGAGAAATAATGGGAATGTGCTCAGTATGTAACCTGGCCACACAGTACAGTAAAAAGAAAATGAGTTTGAAGTAGGTGAAAGAGTTGGAATCCTGGCTGTGCTGTTGCTTATCTATGAAAATGTGTAGGAGAAATCCAGTTATTCTAAGTATCCTTTTCCTCATTTGTCACATGGAAAATAACACTGAATTTGAAAATTGCATGGTATAGATTCGAAATATTATTTGCAAAATGTCTAGCACAGACCTTGTTTTTTGAGTTATCTTTATTTTTAGAAACTTACAAAAGTTTATTTTTCCCTTCACTTCCATGGAATCTTATTAGAAAAGCAAACTAGGGTAATCTCCTAATTCTAAGGTCTTACTGAGATGGAAGTGAGAGGAATAAATATTATGACAAAAAGATGTTGAACATGTATATATAAGGACACATTCACATGGATGTTCATTGCAGCACTGTTTACAATAGCAAAGACTTGGAACCAACCCAAATGTCCATCGATGATAGACTGGACAGGGAAAATGTGGCATATATACACCACAGAATACTATGCAGCCATAAAAAACGATGAGTTCGTGTCCTTTGTAGGGACATGGATGAACCTGGAAACCATCACTCTCAGCAAACTGACACAAGAATAGAAAATCAAACACTGCATGTTCTCACTCATAGGCAGGTGTTGAACAATGAGAACACATGGACACAGGGAGGGGAACACTACAGACTGGGGTCTCTGGGGGTGGAACTGGGAGGGGGACAGTGGGGGTGGGGAGTTGGGGAGGGATAACATGGGAAGAAATGCCAGATATAGGTGACGGGGAGGAAGGCAGCAAACTACATTGCCATGTATGTACCTATGTAACAATCCTGCATGTTCTTCACATGTACCCCAAAACCAAAAATGCAATAAAAAAAAAAAAAAAAATATATATATATATATATATATATATTTAAAAAGATGTTGAACATGAATTTATGAAATAAAAAGTCCAAAAGATTCCTCTGGAAACTAAAGAATTTATATTTTTAAAAAACAATGTTATGACAATATACATTCTGATTTCTTAATACTATTATTATTATTAATATTACTGAGGCCAAGTCTCACTCTGTTGCTGAGGCTAGAGTGCAGTGGCACACCACTGCTCACTGCAGCCTCTATCTCCCAGGCCCAAGTCATCCTCCCACCTCAGCCTCCTGAGTATCTGGCTAAAAAAATTTTTTTTTTTTTTTTTTTTTTTTTTGGTAGAGACGAGGTCTCCCTGTGTTGCCCAGGTTAGTCTCAAACTCCTGGGCTCAAGTGATCCTCCTGCCTCCGCCTCCCAAAGTGTTAGTATTACAAGTGTGAGCTGCTGTGCAGGCTGACTTCTTTGTATTCTTATGTTCATAAAGAAATAAAGAGTGTTGTAACTGTGACAAAACAGGAGACCAGTGATTCTGTCATTTATCCAGTTAAAACATCATCAGAGAAATTCACAGGGATTAAGCCAGATAAAAAGTGCTTGGACCACTGGGAAGAATGTCAAATGTTCTGGATGGTGCAAAGGAAAGACAGATGGAACACCACAGAGCATCTAGCTTGGGCACAGCTTTCAAGAGGTATGGCCCTGCTCATGAGCTATAATGGCAGGAGGAGTACCATGGGCTCAGTGTCAGTCCATCACTCACCCTGGAAAAATATGCTCCCCCCAACACATCTTTCCAAAAAATACTGTCTTAATGAATGAAAGACAAATAAAGAATTGACAGCTTTCAGGCTAAGGACGCTGACTTCTAAGCTTAAAGTTAAAAGCAGTTCTGAAAACAAGCACTGGAAAAGACGTCAGAAGATTTCACTACTGGTCTGTTCTCCACCCTGCTTGGTACCATGACTAATCCCCTTCTCCATCTCTCTACTCCTCAGCTCTACCACTTGTAAGATGGAATAAAGCGGCATTGGCTAACTTCTGACTTGATTTTTTGTTTGTTTGTTTTGTTTTTTATTTTTTTAGCAAAAACAAATGCTGTGTTTCTTTCTGTCAAAGGTATTCAGGATTTATTTGTACCAAGAAGTCAGCAAAATTGCTAGGTGCCTTTTACCATAGATCCTGGAACAGCAGAAGTTGCATAAAAACAAACAAACAAGAAATGCATGGAAATGCACTGCTTCAACATGCTCAAGGTGGTTAGTTAGCATCTGGTCAACTGAAACATAGTATCACTTTGAAGACATTGGCTTTCATTTCATTGGAAGTACAGACTGAAACCCAGTTCTGGAAATCCTTGCATAAAGTGTGACTTCCTCAATAATGATAATGGAGCCTCCCTCACTTCTTTTAAAAGAGGCTTTGTTCAGAGTCTTCAAGGTGATAACATGAGTTCCTATATCCTATGGCAAAGGGAAATCATCATATTGTCTCTCACTCACGTACTTGCATCCTCCCTTCCTTCTACTGCCCACCCTTGCACTTCTTTATCATGAAGCAGAAACTAGGCATGTTCAAGTCTATGCCCTGTGCAGACAGCAAAGACAAGTCTTGGGAAACAGGTGGTATTTGAGGACCTTCTGGACATGAATACAAGCCACCCCCATACCATCTGATCATTTGCTATCTAAATCTAAGGAAAAATAAAACTTGTGTCCCCTAAATGCAAAACTCTTGGAAATACTTCCTTCCTGTAGATACAGCCTAAATGTTCAATATTAATGACATAATTATATAATTATTACATGCAATGATAATAATGATATAATGATTATGATCACCCTACTGGAACATAAGCACTCTCATCTATTAATAACCACATACACACCATGTGCTGTCATTATGAAGGTTATAAATTGCTTCTTCCTGTGCTATCTCCTTACAGAAATGAGGATGTTGTGACACTTTGCCCTCCTGGACATCTCTGGGGACACTGGTTGTCTTGATGAGCTGCTAAAGGAAGTAATCTTCAAGCCCCTTTCCCTAGCAAGGAAGAAAGGCAGCATTCATCCTTGGCCGCTCACTCTCTATCTTACTCTTTATCTCCTTCATTAAATGTCTTTGCCATTCCATTCCAGCAACAGAAGGCTGGGGTGGGCCAGCCGGATGGCATGATGCTGAAATCACTCCCCATAAAAACGTGCCTGCAATGTTACAACAGCTTTGATGCTGTTGTAATGCACCCATAAAATCAAGGAACATATGTAGAGGCAGCTGCTGGTGGCAGTGAAGGAATGTAAAAAATATGGGGCTGTTGAAAAACTTTGATAGATTTTACTGCTAGCCAAGTATATGTTTTTTTATGGTCTGCTGTATATGAACCTACAAAAAAAATCATGCTTTTCTTTTGGGTGTTTATTCATTGCATCATTTACAACAAATTCTTGAGACAAAGAATTTTGTCTCAAAATTCTCTCTCTAGGAGAGCATGTGATTAGTTTTCAAATCAGTGGTCTTCATTTAGCCTTAAGAAAGCTCAGAGAGAATGAAGGTGCTTTTTAATAAATGGTCCTTGGAAAGAAGTGGGGAAGCGCTAGGTATTGGAAAGAAGTTAATGTTACTCCAAACCATTTCCCTACATCACACTCTCTGCATCCATCAGGGTCATCAGAGGATGGCTATTCAGTTGCTTGGATCTGGCAAGGGTTTTGCAGCAATTAGGTGACAATCAGGCAGGAATATGATTATTAGTGGAGGAAAATCAGATTACCTAAGCCTAGAGGTAATAATAATATACAAGCAATATAAGCATATACAAGATAAATCAACAGGATGTGGAAAGAAAATATTATAACTACTATTATATTTATTTGTATATAAAACAACAGGAAAGCAAGTATGTTTTACTAATACTTAATATATGGTTCTTCCGTCACGAGCAGGTTAATGTAGATGAGATCTCAGTCCAAAATTTGTCTATTTTCATATATTGGAATAAATGCTTCAAATTTTTTATCATAAATGTGTGATCACAATGTAATTCTTCTATAGATTGCATGTCAATGCAAGTCTTTTCTTACAGTTTTTATTTCACTGGCATTTTATTGCATAGTTAGAAGAATTAAGATGCATATGTCCACAGTGCCACCTTATCCTGCTCTCTCCAGTACACCAGGTGATTCTCTTTGCCGAAAGCCACAGTTAGGTTTAAAATATTTTTTTTTAAAAATCAAGAGTGAATGTGGCATAGTTAGAAAAAATAAGCATGGTTTGATAATGGAACAGAGTTTATGTACTGGATCTCTCAGATATATTTGTATTTGGATATATATACGTACATATGGAGAGAGAAAGAGAATGCTTTGTAGTAAGCGGGCAAGTCACTTACTCTCACATAATTATAAAATGGGGATACTTTACAAATATTTTTACAGGATTGGCAGTAGTCAATAGATGCAAACTATTATCATGAATATTTTTTCCATAGCACATGCCCACTAACAAGCAAATAATTCAAAAGATTTAGTGTTATCATAGTGAAAAGAAACTCGGGGGACATAGGGGAGGGATGGTGGGGGGTGGGGAGCTGGGGGGGATAGCAGGGGGAGAAAGGGGGGGGGGGGGGGGGGATAGCAGGGGGAGAAATGCCACATGTAGGTGATGGGAAGGAAGGCAGCAAATCACACTGCCATGTGTGTTCCTATGCAACAATTTTG